GAGTTTTGTAGAAAGGCATCAGGATTGATATGAGGGAGTATTGTGTCTACACCATGGGTAAATGGGGTGTAACACATACGATCTAGCACATCTAAGGGAATGACACTAGCATCATCATTGTGGGAACATTGATACTGATTAAGGAACAATAAAAACTCAGGGTCACTGAGGTGTGCAAAAGGAAGATCTAAGAACATTATTATAGTGGGGGGTAACGGACTCACAAGTGCTACAACCAACAGAATTAGGATGACAAGTACTGTTGAGGGTGATTCCCAGATAGAGTGGGAGGTGCACCTGTCACTCGGTTTTGAGGGTTGCTGGTTTCCACCACAGAGGGTAGACGTGTAGTACTCGAGTTGGCCAGCAGGGGGGGAAACTCCTCAGGTGGTAGCGACAGTGGCTGGTTCCCCCTCAGTGAGGAGGGGGTTCTTGAGGGGCTTGGTGGAGTTGGTACAGTGGGTGGGTGAGTGGGCGGATGTCCAATTGCCCAATCCCTCACAACAAGGGTTTTATGACTGAATGTCACGTGTTTCCCTTGTTTCCTGGCTTCTTTAAACTGGTCCATTTGCTGTAGACGGGCTTTAGTCGTACCTGGGCAGAGATCTTCGTTGATGAAGATAGTGGTGCCTTTCAGTTTACTGCGTTGATAAAACACTCTGTCACGGTCAGAGGGGGATGAGAATTTTGTTATGATGTCACTGGGGTGGAAGGAGTTGGGTTTTCTGACGCATTGAACACGGTCAAACTTTACTTCAGGAAGTTTAAAATGTTCATTCAGCAGGCGTGAAATTTTGCGTTGGGATGACCCCAGTTCTTGTGGATGTCTTCAGGGATACCGGCAATCCTGAGGTTGTTTCGCCGCCCTATGTCATCCACATAATCCACCCGGTCTGCTGTTGTCGTTAGTTCCGTTTTGAGCTTGGAATTTTTCTCACTCAGCTGTTGAACTTGGGTCTTGAGTGTTCAGTTCTCTTTAGCTTCAACATTCAACATTGCTTGTAAGTCACTTATTTCCCCTTGCGAGAATTCCAAGCTTCTTTTAATCTCCCAAAGCTGGTCAGTGAGATGCAAGTCAGCTTCTTCTAGCTTCCTGATGGTCTCCTTATTCATTTGTTGTATGATGTCCTGTATGAGAGTCCGTTGGACTTCCATTATCACATCAGTCAGCTGTTGTTTAATGAAATTTGAATTTTTGATACTAGCAGCCAACTTAGACATATTGGAGCTAGTGAGGGCTGAGTAGCTGGCAGTATGTAGACAGTCTAGTTGTGGTCAGCTGGGTGGCCTGGTGGGACGGTGGGGGAGGGTGGACGGTGGGGGTGGGCAGGGCTCAGATTACAAGGCGTGGCACTGAGGGGAGTTTGGTGGGCCTACACCTCACGTGGTAGTCACAGATTCACCAGTAGATTGACACTCACTAGTCACTCACGAATCAGATTTCCTAGAAATCAGACTGGGTACTCCTGGAAAGACCCTGTTATTCGATGAAAAACATGGAGCTCCCACGCACACGTCCCACCACCAAGCTCTACAAGATTGTTACGAGGGACGGACCATCTAGATATCTGAACGACCTTCTTATAAGACCTAATAATTTATTTGCCTGATTTACCTTCTTCTCGCAATGGCCCAAGAACTTCAGCTCATTGTCAACACACACACCTAGGTCCTTCTCACATTCAGTCTCAAATAGTGCAGTTTCTTCATCCCATTGGGACATACTATACGCCTCCTTACCGTTGGTTTGCCCCAGGTGCATCCTCTTACAATTCGTGACATTGAATCTCAGCAGCCATTTCTTCGACCATTCTTGGAGCTCACAGAGATCCTTCTACAGCTCTTCACAGTCCGCTTGGTTCTTGATTTCCCGAAATATCTTGGCATCATCTGCAACCAATTGTATGGAGGAGCGTACAGCGTCAGGCATGTTATTTATGAAACAAACAAACAACAGCGGGCCCAATACACTTCCCTGTGGTACCCCGCTTGTGGCAGGTACAGATTAGGATTTCATGCCATTAACCACCACACACTGCTTGCGGTCATGTAGAAATTCTTCTATGCATGCTAGGACATTTCCCCGAATTCCGTACCCTTCCAGTTGATTTTCAGCCTTTCATGGGGTACACTGTCGAAAGCCTTGGCAAAATCTAGGTATATATTGTCGATAATACCACCCCTCTCCAAAATATGGGTCCAAATATCCATTACCTTGATCAATTTTGTTAAGCATGAGTGCCCCGGCATAAAACTGTGTTGGCAATCCTTTACATGGTTGTTTCGTATTAGATGTTCCATCGCGGCAACTTTGATAATGCTCTTAAGTACTTTACATACTACTATGCTGGTCAGGCTCACCGGTCTATAGTCGTTTGTGGAGAGACGATCACCCTTCTTGAAGATAGGAGTCACATAGGTGTTTCCTAATCACTGGGGACCTTTTGTTCATCCAGTCATTTATAGAACAGGATCTTCAGGGGCTCGGCAAGCTCGTTGCACAACTCCCTTAGCACTTAGGGATGCACCATGTCAGGGCCGGGACTCCTATGGACCTGTAGCTTTTACAGTTTCTGTTTTGTACCCTCTTCTGTGAACACAATGTGGGTCAGTGCTGTGTCGGACCGTCTGTCCTCAAAGACAGGAAGGTTAATCGTATCCTCTCTTGTGAACACTGAGGAAAAGAAGCTGTTCAATGCCTCAGCTTTATCCAGGTCAGAACCTGCATAACTATCATCTTCAAGCCTCAGGTCTGATACTTCTACTCGCGTTTTTAATTTTGACTTCACCTCGCTTGCAACCATCCTCTGGAACTCCTTTTCAGCCCTTCTACACTCTGTATTTGACTTGGTTTCTGGCTCTTGCATACATCCTCCTATTTTGCTCTTTGTTTGACCTAACCCATGTCTTGAATTTCTGGGTTTTCTTCTCAACTTTGTTGACCGCCACATGATTCATGTGTAGGGGTTCCCCTTGTATTCCTATAGGCACTCGCTCTTTCTCTACCAATAGTGGTGTCTCACAGGGTTCTGTTCTTTCATCTACTCTCTTCCTTCTTTTTATCAATGATTTACTTCACACTACAACTAATTCTATCCATTCTGAAGCTGATGATTCTATTTTTCACTCTTCACATTTTCCGCTTCCCACGTACTCTTGCACTAGATCTGTTTCTAGAGCTGATATCATTACATCTATCAATGTGGATCTGTGCAGCATCTCCGAATTGTGAGGTAGAAACTTGGTTAAACTCAATAGTAATAAAACTCGGTATTTACCAATTACACTTTCCAAATTAGATGATCTCCCAACAATCACATTTCAGGACGCTATCATTCTGCCAAATTCTAAAATAGATATGCTAGGCCTCACCATTTCCTCTAATATGTCATGGAATCCACACATCCTCAACATTGCTAAAGCTGCCTCCCGAAAGCTGGGAATGCTGTACAGATTCCGTAGCTACTTCACTCCTGAGCAGTTGCTTCAAGTATATAAGGGATTCATTTGTCCTTACTTGGAGTACTGCTTTCATATTTGGGGTGGCTCTTCTTCTGTCCAACTGTGAGATAGGGTGGAATCAAAGGCATTTAGTCTTATTAACTCTCCCCCTTTAGTTGACAGTCTTTCTTCCCTTTTTCTTCGTCGCAATGTTGCTTCATTCTCTTTCTCTTGTACAGGTACTTTAACGGGCAATGTTCAGTGGATTTGGCATCCTGTGTACCGCCAGCAAAGCCGTGGGCTCGTAACGCACATCTTGCCGCGGTACCCACTGTTTCTCTCTGGATGTTGGTCACGCTAGAATAACCCGTTATAGTGCATCCTTCTTTCCTCACACAGCCAAACTGTGGAAAGCTCTGCCTTTTTCTGTGTTTCCATGCTCATACAATCTGTCTCACTTTAAAAAGCTGGTTTTCTGGCATCTTCGTGGTGTAGATTAATATAGCCTTTCCTTTTCTATTTTTAATTTCTTTCTATTCTTATTTTTTCGTCCCGCAGGCCCCGTTGTGGGTCGTTGACCTGTGCCCGGGTGGGCTAATCCCCCCCCCCCAAAAAAATGAGCAAATACTAGTTATGATATTCAGCATAGTGTCTGCATTTTTGTGCCTTAGTGAGTTGAGCCAGTGGATACCCCTCATCTCTTCCCTCATCCCATCATAATTTTCCTTGTAGTATTTGCACCTTGGCCTCGCAATATCACGAACTAGCAACAGTTAAATCTAAATGACAACACTACATGGTGACTGGTGCCAACTGGGGCTAGATGTTCCAGTTTGGCCACCATACCCTCTTCGTTTGTTATGATGAGGTCTAGTGGCTTGGGTGTTTGCTCCCCTCTGTAATATGTTGGGTCTTTAACATGTTGGAACAGGAAATTATCTCTCAGAGTTTCTACAAAAAGAGTAGCAGGGTTATTCAAGTTATTTGGGGTAAACTCGTTTCTCTAATCGATGTTGCATTAGTTAAAGTCCCCCATGGTAAGGAGGTGGCTAGGGTTGAGCATTGTCTATTAAGGCTCTTAAGTTCCTTTGATTTAGTAGGCTACAGTTTGGGCATCAATCAGCTGACAGTCCCTAATATTTCTCGGGGACCAAATGGGGTGACAGTACTCCAGGCGGGGAAGCACCTCTCTCATGAAGATCTTTACGAGGGACGGACCGCCTAGATATCATTGACTCCAAACCCATCTTATTCTTATATCACACTAGTCTTAACAGCACTTCACTGAATTTATTATTGGTAATGTACTCTCTTTACAGTATTGTACTGTATTCATATGTTAATCTTTCAAATTCTCTACATAATCAGATATGTACAGTACCGTACTGTACTTGAAAGTTGAGTACAGTGTATTATTATTTTTAATTTAGGAAGATAGGAATGTGCAAATTTGTATGCCATAATGTTATTGAATACAGATAGAAGGGGAATTATAAAAAACGTTATCACACAGTACAGTAAAATTTACAATAAGTATGTCATTGTTTCACATCTTGCAGGTGACGGTAACCAACTTGCTGTTGCTGTTGATGGTGAGCACTGAAGCACAAGAGGAATGTCCATGGATTGAGTCAATGAATTCAGATTGTATTGAGAAAACTGTTTGCCAACAAAGAGGAATTGGCTTTTATATTTGGGAAGATTGTGCGTTAGACAGTAAGCTGTTTGACTATAATGGTAAGCTTATAGTTTTTCAGTTCAGATATAAAGAATAAGTAAAGTACCACTCAACATGGATTCCCACTTGGACGATTGTCTGTTTTATGGTATTTATCATGACCTAACCTGACCTAACCTAAGCTAGCATAGCCATTTAACTAAGATAGTAAAAAATAGCATAAAATAAACAATTGTCCAAGTGAGATACACCTCAACAGGTAACCAATTAATGACAGTTCACTTTAATGACCTTGTAGTTTTAGGGAATTTAAATTTATTTACAGGTAGTGTATCCTCTGAGTTACAGATATTCTCAGTAATTGAATCTGAGAAGTATGTAATGTTTTCTGACATGTGGAATAAAAAAAAAATTATAAATGGAAAATCTGCCATGTGGCAAATACCAGGAATTTTTGGATTTTGTTCATTTTTTCCTCAAATGTTCTTTGGGTGATAGTAAGTAATAAAATGATATGACTAATTTTTATTTACTTTTTTTTACCTCTTACTTTTATCCTCTTCACCACTGATCAACTCGTCAGCAGCTGGGGCAGTCGGTCACGTCTCTGTTACGCACTGTTGGCAATTACTGGTCATGCACTGGCTCCTGAATATATCTGAACCTACTCCAGTGTTGGTCAAGTCTGGTCTTGGAACAGCTCACACTCGGTGCCATCACAACACACACTGGCAGTTTGTTCCAAGAGTTCACTACTCTCACTCTGAAAAAATTTGTCCTCACAGTTTTCTGGACTTGTGGCTTCTTTAACCTTGAGCTGTGACCCCTTGTGGGGCGAGTGTCAGCCAGCTCTAAGTAAGGACACTCGACTCAGTAGTGTCCTTTGACTGGAGTTCTTCCGCCGCTGCTTGCTCCTTCTTGGCTGTTGTGAAGAAGCTCCTTCTGCCGTCCCTCGACGAAAAAATGAATCCTGTGTTGACTGCCCGGTTCTACTCATCTTCTCCTTATAGATCTCGGTGTAGCAACCAAGATTATCCTCAATGCTGCGTTGAACCATTGACCTACGTTCTCTGTTTGGGTCATCATCTAGAAGCATTTGCATTGCTTGCTGGAAGATGTTCAATGATTCTGCCAACCTCTTTGAAGTTAGCGTTCGTTCAGGTTCTTCATCTTCGTTGTCGTCATCTTGAACAGGACTGTGTTCTGTTAATTGTTGCAGATCTTCGTTGGTGAGCTCCTCTGAATGGGATGCCAGGATGTCCTCAATGTCGCCTGATTCCAGCTCATCAAAGCCTGCCTGTCTAGCCAAGCTGAGGATATCCCTATTCACAGCTGAGACTAAGTCCGTGAATCCCGTAAAACTGTTGACGCACTCGGGCCACAGTTTACTCTACACACCATTCAGGCAACTTTCTGAAACCTCTTCCCATGCCTTGCAAATGTTGTCAATTGCATGAAGAATGTTGAAGCCACGCCAATATTCTCGGATCGTTGGTTTATTTTCTCCGTCTGTAGCCTTGAACAGCTGGGCCATGGTACAGTGTAAGTAATACGCCTTGAATGCGGTGATGACGCCCTGATCCATAGGCTGCATCAGTGCTGTCATGTTGGGAGGCAAGAAGACAACTTTTACACTGTCATGCAAGTTGTCAAGATTGGGAGCATTGTCAAGGATCAGAAGAATTTTGAAGTTAAGGTTCTCATTGGCACAGTATTCCTTCAGTGCAGGGACGGCATACACGTTTAACCACTGGCTAAATATGGCGCCGGTTATTCATGTCTTTTTGTTTCCCTTGTAAATGACAGGAAGGTGATCCTTAGAGTAACCTTTCATGGCCTGTGGGTTGGCAGCGCAAGAAATCAGCATAGGCTTAGGCTTGATGTCACCGGCAGCGTTCGCGCCAAGCAGCAGCGTCAAGCGGTCTTTTGCCGCTTTAAAACCTGGCGCTCTTTTCTCCTCCTTGGAGATATAGTCCTCTCAGGCATCCTCTTCCAAAAGAGACCAGTCTCATCCACATTGAAGACTTGCTTCGGTGAGTAGCCTCCTTGCTGGATAATCCGTTTTAATTCTTGCGGGAATGTTTTGGCAGCAACCGTTTCTGAACTGGCTGCTTTAGTACATTTGTCGGAAGATTCAGACAATCGGCTTTTGCAGACAGGTTTCTCCCCTTTTAGTCCGGATCTTCGAGGGTTCACTGTACCTTTGTTTATTCATTAATCAGTGGTCTGTGTGTACAAGTAGCCAAATCGAGCCATCATGTATCACTCAAAGGTAATAAATAACATTGTTCGGAAGGTATCTTCAAATCAAATACTATACAGTTATAGTGACCCTGTTGTAAGCTTATTTGCTGAACGCTCTCACATGAATGCATCCTGAGTGAATACCTTTTGATACAGCTTATCCTTTTATTTTCTAGTCATATTACAAATTACGTATTGCATTTTTTCTCTATTATTGAAGATGTTATATTACTCCTGATGAACCATAAACCATAAGAGGCCAATCAAATGAGAATATAATACTGAATCAATAAATTAAATAAACCTGACGAATGTGGCAACGGTAAGCCCCACCCAGCCTGCTCACATACACAGTGTCTTAGACTATTGTAAAGTTTCTAGTGAGCAAGTGTTGTTCATTTCATAAGATTTTCTTTTAAATTCTCCCCCCCCCCATTTTAATAGAGGAGTGGTCGAGAGCACCTCAGAGAATCTGAAAAAAGAGAATTCCGATATATTGAAGTCTGTTTTATCAAGATTTTACTGTATATCACTTATATAATATATTTTATTTGGGTGAATTTTATATACTGTACTATAGTTCTGTAGTGTGCTAACACACCGCTCGGCCACCACCAACCGAGTCCTCATGGTTTAACCCGTGAATGGTCATTAACGTTCAAGTACTTGATTACCAATGTTACTATCTCTGTTCATTCATGTACAAAAGTGTTTCCAAATGCACTTTTCCTGCGCCTTTGAAACTGAGTCTAGCTACCATAATCTGTTGGCTGGTGGTGTCTGGCATCTTGTGTAAATGTTTCCCACCCACTACTCGGCCTTGAGACCCCCCACCCTCACATCTCTCCCCACAGTCAAGGCCGCGGGACTACACAGTAGAGTCTCGATAGCCGTGTCATGTGAAAGTAACCAGTCACTCTATCAGGATGAGATATACTTCTTGAATTATTTGGTAGGGTGAAGATGAACATGATATTGACAGAGAGGCATGTATTGATAGTGATATTGAAGGTGATGATAATGATAGTGACCCTGACTTCATGTTTGAACAAGAGGAAAGTGACAATGAGTGGCAAGTGGAGGAGAGAGGGTTGCTTCCCTCCCCATCTCCAGCAACGTCCAGTACTCCCTCCACTTCACCTGCCCCTACCACTCCCAGTCCCACTGTATGGTTACACCTCCCCACACTCCTTCTTCCTATACTAGCTCCCTACCCCCTATACTCCTTCCTTCATCCCACACTGTTCCCTCCCTCCCTCCCACACTGCTCCTTCCCTCCCTCCCACACTGCTCCTTCCCTCCCTCCCACACTGCTCCCTCCCACACTGCCTCCCTCCCTCCCACACTGCTCCTCCCCACACTGCTCCCTCCCACACTGCTCCCTCCCACACTGCCTCCCTCCCCACACTGCTCCTTCCCTCCCTCCCACACTGCTCCTTCCTCCTCCCACACCTCCTGCTCCCCCCTCCCTCTCCCTCCCTCCCACACCGCTCCCTCCCTCCCACACTCCTTCCTCCCTCTAACACTGCTTCCTTCCTCCTCCACTGCTCCCTCCTCCCACACTGCTCCCTCCCTCCCTCCCACACTGCTCCCTCCCTCCCACACCTTCCTCCCTCTCACACTGCTTCCTTCCTCCTCCAGTGCTCCCACCCTCCCACACTGCTCCCTCCCTCCAACACAGCTCCCTCCCTTCCATATTGCTCCCTCCCTCCCACACTGCTCCCTCCCTCCCACACTCCATTCTTCCTCCTACACACCTTTCTTTCTCCCTCTCACACTACTTCCTTCCTCCTACACTGCTCTCTCTCTCCCACACTGCTCCCTCTCTCCCACACTGCTCCCCCCCCCACACTTCTTCCTCCTTCTTATACTGCATATTGCCATAGTAATCTAAATACATTATAAGCATATAATATTAGTAAAACTGTAAGGAAAATAAACCGAGAGGGATGGAAGATACTTCACCTGGCCTTGAGCGTGCAGCTTCGTTGCTTGTAATAAAAAAAAATCCTTATGTTTATTTCATAAATCTTTTTATCTGGAAAAATCTCAGCATATCTGGCGACCTGCATCACCTACCATGCCTCTGTGTCACCTACCATGCATCTGTGTCACCTACTATGATGATTCTTTCTTTGCCTGCAGTGTTGATAAGTGTTACTTTTTACATTTAGTAATTATATGAATTGTACACATATATGGGTCAATAATTTTTTATTGTTGTAATTTTGTAGGAGGGAGGAAGTGCCTCGATAAGTTGGAATTTGGGATAACTTGGCAAGGCCAGAGCCCCATATATGCCAAATTATCGAGGGTTTACTGTAACTAAATAAGATGCAAATAAACTAAATAAGTAAGGGAAAAGAAATAAAGCCAAGTTCTGGGTGGTAACTTTAGTTAAACATAAAGCTCCCCTCTTACAGAGCCATATTAGTGTTATTGGTTTGTTTTGTTGTCAGTATTTTTTTTCTCCCGCATCTTTTTCACCTTTAAAGCAGGGGATTGGGGTATAGCGCTTTTACTACCCATTTAGAAAATTTTTACTTACATAAATATGAGGGAATGCCAGAAAAAGCTTTGGCAGCAAGAAATTCGACTCAGGATTTATTAATATACCTTCTTCCTACAACAGGGTGCAGCTCACTGGGCATTAATAGACTACTGTACTCCCACCACCCTTAAGATGTATTTGCCAGATACCGCTGTTTAGACGAATCATACTGAAAACAGTGACATCATTTCTTAGGCTAATTGTACCAGTATGCTTCCCTAAAATTCTTTGTTGCCACACATAATTGTTCTGTATTTTTATTTGATCTCAAAATTTTTATATGCTTCTGTTTCCACTTACAGGTACAGCTGCATTCAGTGAAAACTGTGAATATTTCTCAGTGAAAGGAAAAACAATATCCCTCAAAAAGCTTTTTAATGCTGAGACCGACAATGAACCACTGAAGATTTGTTCAGCCATTTTTCTTAAAGCCCCTGTTACTCAATTCTACATCCTGGATGTGAATGAATTTGACCCAACTCCTATTTCTCAGGGTCTGATATTTGAAACTCATGTGAAAGAGGTAATGTTTGTTTGTTTTACTTTTAGATTAATCCTGTATGTAGTTATATTGCTGCAGGTTAATGATATAACTTTAAAAGTTTTGGTATTTTACAATTTTAGTTTTAACTTAATACATCTGTTCCTAACTCTGTGCACTTAGTGTGTGAAGGTCTTCTTTATTTTATTCACATCTCAGTAATTCTGTATTGAACTTACATGTTTAAGTTATACCAAAACTTAATTTAATGTGATACTCAGCAGCTCAATTTCATTCCCAGTTAATAGAAGAATGGCAAGTGATTGAAGGCTCATTAAAGGCTTAAATACACCTAGTTCTAGTATACTCTCTCTGCCACTACTTTTATTCACAATTATTGGACTGAATTATTGCTTACAAGGATTCCATTCCCCCATTTATTACTACAAGCATGGTTAGCAAGCACCCAACCATCACACCTATCACAACACATACATTACTACCTACACAATGATGACAAGTACAATGCATTGTGTATTCTGTTGCTTTATAAGGTTACATTTATGATATTGAATCTAAGGGTAATTTCATCATCATCATCATTGCTTTATGACCATTTTCCACACTTGCTTGGGTTAACCATGGTTACTTGAAGGGGGAGCGTTGGTGGAGCGGTTCCGCTCTTGCCTCGCAAGCAAGATGTCACGGGTTCAATTCCCGGGCCGGCGGAAGTTGTTTGGACACTCTTCCTAGTCCCCCTGGTCCCTGTTCCCCTAGCAGCAAAGTAGGTACCTGATGTAAATCGAAAGTTGCGAATTCGTATTCAGGGACAAGTTGTTGGAGTTTCCAATAACTTGATGACATTAACTCTTCAGGCTTCTACGCCCTTGACTCTTCAGGCTTCTACGCCCTTAACTCATTGGACATAAGGCAAGCATGAACTTAGTATGCTTCCCTGTTGGGCGCTGTAAATGCTTCTGCTCTTCATCTTACACAAGGATGTAGGGGGGTGCCCAATAAAAAAAAAAATGGTTACTTGATGGAAACTCTCCAGGCTACATGGTGTCTTACAAGAACCTCTCTTGCCAAATTCTTATCTCAGCAGTCATTTTTCACACCCTCTCCCTATCAGGGAGGCACAGCCATCTTCGTCTTGGACAAGTGTGGTGTACCCTATAGCCCTATATCCATCACTTCCCCGTTGCTAGTGGTGGGTGATATCAAGGATTTGATTCAATACAATGCCAAATATTTTTTAGTTCAGTATCAGTGGTATCGCGTCACAATATTAAGTACTTGTGAAGTCAGTATCAGATGTTTTGAGTACTTTGCAGCAGTAGGACTGAAGGTAAATAAATGAATGAAAAATGTGAAATTAATTTATTATTTTGCAGATCCTCTTACATATAATAAAAGTAACATTCCTAAAAAAATAAAAAAATTATTTGGGTATTTAAATAAAGAAAGTGCAACTCCTTAAAAGAAAAAAAGAAATAAGTAAATAACTAAATCCCAAGAACTTGGAAAATACTTCTTTAAATGAAAATAGTATCGCTATGATAAGGGGAAAAGTCTAGAAAATTAAATAATACAGTGGTCCCTCGGTTAACGAACACAATTCGTTCCTCAGAGTCGTTCGTTAACCGAAAATTTAGTTAACCAAATCTATTATTTCAATAGGATATTGGGTAATTGGTTCCAACTCACAGAAAAAGTTCATACAAAGTACTGTACTGTATACCAGTAATAGAATTAACAAAACATTAAAGATAAACTAAATACAGTACTGCACTGTACAGTATACTGTACAATAATAAATAAAAAAACAATAGAATACTGTATTTTAACTTAATTTGAGGTGTGTATCTCATATTCCCGGCAGCTTTGTTTACATATCAAACAGCTGATTGTAGAGGCAGTCGATGATGACATGCCATATCCTTTACAGAGTGCATTGGTTCTAATGCCTTCTTCATGTTTCATAATAATTTCTGTACTGTATATTATCAAAATGTTAACTAAATTTCAGAATGACCAATAAATTTAATGTAAAATTGCAAAAATATTCAAGAGACCAACAAAATCGATGTTCACTCCACTGTAAACAAAGTTAAACTGAGAAGCGTTGTTGGGTGATTCAATCAGCTGATGGGCGCACAAAAACTGTTCCCTGTACTGTCTATATTATCAATATGTTAAAAAAGTTTCAGAATGACCAATAATTTTGATATAAAAAATGCAGAAATATTCAAGAGACCAACTTTCTTGATATTTACTTCACTGGAAACGAATGTATTGGCGGACTAACCGATCAACTGATCAGCTGATGTGCACAACGAAACGTGTTTGTCGTAAGGATTTCGTTAATCGAACTGAAAATCCTTATGGGAGCTAATTCGTTAACCGAAATTTCGTTTATCGAACCGTTCGTTAACCGAGGGACTACTGTATTACGTATTTAAGTAATTATTAGATGTTTTAATTGCCCGTATGTTGGCCTGGTGAGTTAATGCTAGGCATTTACATACCTGGGTATAAAGCTAGACGTCACATTCTGGACTATATCTCAAAACTGTTTTTGAGAAAAAAAACGGCTTTTTTTGTAGGTAACGGTTTAAAAATAATATCTGACACATTACTTGACTTGAATTCTCTTTGTCATTGTCAAAATACAGCCACACTGCTCTTCTTTTTCTAGTAGTAATAGAAGTTATTGTGTCGGGCTACGGTCAGAGTAACTAGAGAGGGTATAGTATATCTCTCTCTGGAGAAACAAAAACTGACAGGTACTGTACACGGGAGAACGTTATAGGTAGGTTTAGTTCCCTCATAGTGTCATACTCGCTGAATTTTTTAATTGCATTTTCATTGTTATCTATTTCTATAATATTATTATACTACAAAGGCTATTTTATTGTAATTTACCATTTATTCATTTCAAGTAAGTGACGAAATGGAGTGTTAGACGTGTTGTTGTTGTTTGTGCCATAAAACTCAGAAGTTTTATGGCAAATTGGCAGCACAACACTAGAGGCACAGAGATACGTTCCATCCCCTCCCTTACCCTGTACCCCTCCCCCTCCCCTGAAGCCTGTGGGCACACTGCAAGGGGCTGGGCTACCAGACACTCAATAATGGTAATTTGTGAAGTTACTGATAACCCCTATAAGATTATTTGGCCAATTTTACTGAAGTACTCATAGTACTCGATACCTAGCCTTCATTAGCGATACTTTCAAGTATATGGCTTGTATCGGAAATATCGATACTTTGTTATCAATATGTCCACCACTACCTGTTGCAGGCAACAGCTTGCAAGATTCATCTCCACCAAACCTATACCATATGCTTAATTTACCTCCCACTTAGTGCACCAATTACCAGGGAGGATTTGGTTTCATTAATTCATCAACATTTTTCTCCTTATCTTATTCTCAGTAATTTTAATGGAAGGCATACCCTCTGGGGTGATACAATATTTAATTCAAGGGGTGACCTGATAACTTTGATCATTGAAGTAATGGACCTGGGTATATTAAATACTGGTGATATCACCCATTATCGTGTCCAGAAGTCCTCCCGACAGCACGAGCTCCCCCTTTAGTGGTTAGACAAGGCAGACTGGGACTTTTTCAAGGAACTAGTAAAGGTAGACAGGAGCACTGAAGAATTTCTTTTTGTAGATGAAGTGGTTGAATACTTAGCCAGCCACCTCCAGTGGGCTGGTCACTGTTCTATTCCTTAGACCTCTGGTCGTGTGGCTCACCTACCTGTTCCTTGGTGATTGGAGGAGTGCAAGCAGGCAGTTGTTGAGTAATGCAGAGCTTATGGTCACTCTTGGCATCATAGGACAGAATTTTATCATACAAAAGGACCAGACCCCAAGCTCATCGTGTTTTAAAGAATGCCTGTCACCAGTCCTTTTCTTCTTATGTCTCCTCTCTAAACGAAAAAACTCCCTTGTCCCAAGTATGGAAATGTGTGCAGTCAAGTTTTCATCTAATCCTCCCCCAGTTCTCAGGGCTAATGATGGCAGCTCAGTTACTGCCCCTCAAGAAGTTGCTGAGTTTTTTGCCACAGTATTTGCATAGGTGTCTTCCAGAGTTCAAGCGGGTGTGTAGAGTATAGGAGTCATGGGCCCTGGATTTTGGAGTGGGACGTGGCGAGACATCCAACATTATGTTCTCAATGAAAGAAATGAGAACCGTCCTCTCACTCACTGGAGATACATCACCAGGGCCTGATGATATCCCATTACTCTGCCACCTTGAAGTTGAGGCACAGACCTTTCTGTTGGAGCTATACAACAATATCTGGCTAGAGGGCTTTTTCCCGTCCTCGTGGTGGGAGGCTACTGTCCTGCCTTTAAAGAAGACTGGAAAAGAGTCTTCACCCACGAGAATATTGACCCATAGCTCTGACCTCCTGTATCTGCAAGCTATTTGAAAAGATTGTCAACTCACAATTAGTATACTACATTGGAGAAGACTGCCCTTCTTTTACCATATCAATCTGCCATTCAACAATTGGTGCTTTGTTTATTTTGAGTCTTCGGTCTGTGGCTGAACGTCGCATGCGACTTATACTAGACAAGGGTTCTTGATGAACCACAGAGCATGGTTTCAGATTTTCTATCTTGAAGACCAGTGCCATGCATTTCTGTCACCTTCGAGGTGTTCACCCAGATCCTGATCTACAGCTCTATGGTTATTGTGTGTGGTGTGTCACAGAGACCCATTTCCTGGGAATTATCTTCGATAACCGGCTTATGTGGCAAGCACATATCCATTACCTAAAAGAGTCTTGCCAGTGTGCTCTGAAGTTATTGAGAGTCTTGGGGCACACATCATGTTGTGCTGACCAAGGAACTCGCTACACCTTTACCACATGCTAGTTAGACCCAAACTGGATTATGGGTTTGAGATGTACTACTCAGCCACTTAGACTAGACTCAATACACTGAACTCTATTCAACATGCTGGGGTGTGCCTGGCGACTGGTGCCTTCAGTTCTTTGCCAATCCCAAGTCTACTAGTTGATGCTGATGAGCCACCCCTTGATCTTTCATGTCAGTATCTCCAGGTCCAGTGTTGGTTTTACCTCCACTGCCTTCCACAGTCTGTAACCAACACTTATGTAGTTCATGAGACTATGTCCCCCACACTACCCTCAGCATCCAGGCCTCCCACGACCTTTTGGCTTCAGGGTAAGGAAGGTTGTGAGTATTCTTTGTTTTCCCTCTGTTCAGGTATGCTCCATGTGGTTCCCTATTGCCACTCAGTGGATTCTCCCTGAAGTTCAAGTTTGTCAGTACATATTTTAACAAAAGGGAGGACTTACTCCTTTCCTGTGTGGTTTATCTCTTTTTAGAACATGCCTCCTCTCACAGAGGGACTATCTCTATTTACACCGACGGCTCTAAGTCAGATGCAGGGGTGGGTTTTGGGGTGGTCTTTCCTTGTTTCTGTTGGGACGGTAGTCTCCCCACTATGGCATCTATTTTTACAGCAATGCCGTCGGGTATTTTACTTGCCCTCAAGACTATTTTTACCCAACCTCATCGCGATTTTAAAATTTTTAGTGATTCTCGTAGTGCTCTCCAGGCCTTAGCTAGTGTCTCATCGCCCCATTCCTTAATTATAGATATTTTACATTGGCTGTTTCTCATCCAACGTCGTGGCCGGAAAGGCAGTTTTTGCTGGGTTCTGGCCCATGTGGGGAAGAAGGGAAATGAGTGTATTGATGCTGTGGCGAATGCAGCTGCTTCTCGCCCCGTGGCATATCATTCCCTTCTACCTACTCTGATATGAAGCTAGTAATTAGAGCTGCCATCTGCTCGAGTTGGCAATGCAGGTGGGATGCTGTTGGAGTAAACAAGCATCACAACGTCCATCCTGCATTGGATGCCTGGTGATATCAGGGACTGTTGCGCCACCAGGAGACTGCTTTGGCCCACCTCCGCATTGGCCACCTCGGCTGACTCATGGTTTTTAATGGAAAGGGCGCCCCCTCCCCATTGTGATGACTGCCTAGTCCTATCGACTGTTTGACACTTCCTGGTGGAGTGCCTCGGTCTCAGAGATCTTGGTCATAAGCACCTCTCCCAGTGCTTGGGGGGAGACAGGTTTTATCATCTCTCTTTGGTGCTGGGGGGTGGGTAGCGTGGGAAGGGATGTCCAATACTTCATGGAGGAAACCGGTCTTCTACACAAGCTTTGAGTTTTATCTATCAACGTTCAAATGATTTTTTACAAAAGTTCTGTTATTTATTACTTATGTTTTTTACCTTGCATTGTTTAATTTTGGTCTTTTAAGCCTTTATTTTAATTCGGCGATATATGACCTCAGCTGTTGTGTTGCCAGGGATGTAATTGCCACAATCAATCAATCAATTATTCTTCTGAGCCCTGTTTACCTCTATTCTGTCCCTTGATTTGGGCTCTAGATACTCTCCCATATCACACTTATATTCCAGACCTTATATGATCTTCTTTTCTCCTTTATCACCCTGTTCACTTCACCATATTATTTCCATGTTGCTACCTGCTTGGCTTCTCCATTCTTTCCAACCACAGACCTTGTCAGTCATGCTTAACAGAACATTCTTTAGCCCTTTGATGTACAGGGGGTCTCATTGTACTAAAAATTTTTTCTGACATTAGTCAAATAAAACACTATATTAAAAGTGGTGTCCCGTAGTGAAGAGGTTGACCCTTAGGCTTCGGGTCACGTCCTGTGATGTATGTCTGTAGAGCTTCGGGTCATGTCACATACGTTTTGATCTTTCATGGGCCTATTTAAATGAAAAGGGTGGGCCTGGCTAGATTATATTGTGAAGTAGGTATTTATCTTTCACTTATTCACACATGAGAGCCTCCCAGTCTCTTCTCAGTAGCTTCTCAGCTTTTGTGATGTAGGAATCTTGCCCTTGGACTTGACTCACTTCACCATGTGTTTCTACCCCCTTAACCCTCAAGCACAAGTCTAGTATTGTGAACAATTACTGGAGCAGTGATAATGATTGTTAATAATGTAAATATTAATAACATAGTAAAACAAGTGTCCTGTACCTCAGACTGCATACAAATTAGTGTTGTTTACCTCGTTACTTGTGAGTTACACACACACATGCCACTTAAACATTCTCGGCTCATCTTAGCCCCGGTGTTGCCAGCCTGTGGTGAGTACATTTATTTATTTATTTATTTATTGTTTGTTTGTTAATATCATGCATGGCCAGTTTGTAAGACAAATTTTTTTTATTTATTTTTTTAAATGTTGCCAAATACTGTATACCCTCCGGGGGAGGGGTTGCTGACCATAGCCCGAAGCTCATGGGTTAATGCGACCCAGCATCTTGCTGTACTATCCTTCACACTATCATTGACTATTTTCATTTACCTCGTATTAGCATAAAATGCTTCCTTTACATTCCTTTTCTTGAATTTATACATTATCCTTTTGGAAATAAACACCCAGTGATAGAAAAGTAATAAATAATTCATGTTGCAGGGTGTTGAACCTTTAGTCATTGCAACTGTGAACTATACTGATGATGACTGGAAAGAGACTGAAGGCTTGCAGGTTGAAATGGTAAGTTGAACTCTGTAAGTTTCGTATTGATTTGATCACTTCAATTTTGTCTTGATAGTTTCCAAGATGAAATACTGTAATCATAAAAATGAAAATTCCTCCAAAATCAGCTAGTACAGGGGTCCCCGACTTAGGAACGCCCGCTGATACGAACAAGGTTAAACTTGAAATTAACAGCATTTTATTTACAGTACCTTATGAATTATTTTTTACTTTCATTTTTTGTATTTTGTCATTTTATTTCTTCTTTTGTCTTAAATTAAGTGATTTTAGATGTATATAAGGACTTAGGCTATGATATAGTGGGATTTTAGACATTGTTCTGGAAGTACGGTACGCACATAGGTGACGTAGCATGTGTTCCGACTTAAATACAAATCCGACTTAAGAACGTCCTCAGGAACAGAACTCATTCATAACCCGGGGACCCCCAACGTAAGTTTGAATACCAGGTGCAAAGGGGATGAGCTGCCATATTTATTGCTATGATAAACAATAAAATCAATAAATAGTATATACTGTATTATAAAATACAATAGCAAATATTTTATGTACTAAGAATAGCTCCTTCCACACTCAAACCATCCTCTGGGTGACGTGACCTACTTCAACCAACTGACTCACAAATGTAAGGTTGCCGCTCTGCACTGTGTGTATGCTGTGATGTCTCATCAGGAGGGAGCATGGCCACACAGTTATTGCCCACCGCTTCCACACACACACACACACACACACACACACACACACACACACACACACACATGTTCTTAATTTTTCTTATTTTATTGTTTTGTATTTTACAGGCATCCCCACCTTATGGAAATTCATGCGTACACAATTTGGAAATTATGGCAAACAAATCGGGATATGGCCCAAAAATCTGCCCTTATGGAATTTTGCTAATGTGTTGCCACATTTGTCAGATTTATTTATTTATTGATTCAGTATTATATTCTCATATCATTGGCCTATTATGGTTTATGGTTCATCATGATTAATATAACATCTTCAGTAATAGAGAAAAATACAATACTGTATGTAATTTGTAATATGGCTTGAAAATAAAAGGATAAACTGTATCAGAAGGTTGTTTACTCAGATGCATTCATGTGAGCTTTCAGTAGATCAGCTTGCAACAGTGGTCACTATGACACACTGTATAGTATTTGATGTGAAGATACCTTCTTTAAAACGTTATTTACTCTCTCTGTGTGTTATATGATGACTCAGTTTGGCTACTTGTATTTAGACGTGATTAATGAATAAACCAGGGTATATGCAGATGCATAATACTTTACACTACAATATTTCTTAGTAAGTGATGATAAATACACTACAATAGTATTAAGTGGTGATAAATACACTGCAGTAGTATTAAGTGGTGATAAATATACACTATAATAGTATTTATTAAGTGATGATAAATACACAACTGTATTGTACTAATTTACTAAGTGTTGAAGACAGACATTGTGGGAAGCTGCTCAGCTGTTTGCTCTTCGTAAACAAATGACTCATGGTGTTCAGTGTGGGATTCTTTTTTCAGGAAAGATGATTCTTTTAGGATAATATTTTATCCACCTGTCACCAAATGATACTAAATTATATGAGAATTGTGGTGCAGTTGCATAAAGAAGTGTTAAAGGAATCTTGTGGGAGGGAGCCACCCACCCATGCCAATCCCCCCACCCCCCCTACCTCACTGCCAGCTGCTCACAGAAATACATTTGTCTTCCACATACAATATACTCCTACCCTTATTTGTTCTTATTTTTATAGTACTGCACCATACAATACCGGTATACAGTTTTCTCTTTATTCATAAGATAAATTCTTTGGTTACTTACATATAACACATTACAGTAAACAACAAACATCTCAGTGACAACCAGACTTATATGTCTGATTTTCAACCAAGAGAGTTGTTTCATATTTAATTTTTTATTGTTGATGTACATTAAGTCCTTACTTAACGTCGTTCCGTTTAACGTTGTTTCGGTACTACGTAGCTGAACTTTAGAAACGAAAAATTCGTTTAACGTCCCGGTGATCCGATACTATGTTGTTTTGCGGCATCACAGACTACTTTCTATGGCGCATCACCTGCTCTTCTCTGGCCGCGCTATGCTCTCTCAGCTCGGCGCGCTGCCCTCACTCGCGCAACATCACATTGTCCCCAAGCGACGCCAAGCCATTCTCTGTTACGGCTTCACATCATTCGTGTGTGCTTAAGTGCTTTTGCTCTAAAACTGTACTCTAACCATTCGAAATAGCTTCCAAGCGCCCATCAAGTGCTACTGATGCTTGTGTAGTGAAGAGGCAACGTAAGACCATTACCCTTGCTACAAAAATGGATAAGCCGATTTGAAAAAGGGAGACGTACTGTGGGCATAGCTACTGTGCTTGGTCTAACCCCCACAACGGTGCGTATTATCCAGACCAATGCTGATAAGATTAAGGTTAGTGCTGGAAGTGGTTCTTCGCTGCTACTAAGACGACACGTACAAGAAGCACTGTGATAGAGAAGGTGGAAAAAATGGAGGATCAGAATAAATGCAATGGCCCTGTGAGCCTTACGGTGATCCAGCATAAGGCCAGATCCTTGCTTGACTACTTAAAGGCAGAAGAGGGTGAAGGATTAAGGAAGAGACCTTTACGGCTACCCAAGGCTGGTTTCAACGATTTAAGCGTCGTTATAACTTCCACAATACTGTATTAAGATGACTGGTGAAACTGCCAGTTCAGGTATGGTTGCTGCCGAGACATTCCCGCCAATAATGGAGGAGGAGCAAGCAGTGGTGGAGGAACCCCAGTCAGAGCAGGAGGAGGGGGAGGCAGTCGCAGAGTCTCAGTGACTCACCACCCTCCTCTGCTCCCACCTTCCCCCTCCGCTCCCACCCTCCTCCTCTGCTCCCGCCATCCTCCTCCTTCGCTCCACTACCCACCACACACTCGCTCTACCACCTATGCCCATCGGTGAGTACCAATACAAACTTAGTACTGTAGTTCTATATACTATTCTCGATAAAAATGCCAATGGTTTTCTGTACAGTATATGTAACTTTTTTCATGGGGCAAAGGGAGGCTTAGGAACATAACTCCCGTATTTTATCTATTTCTTCTGGGAAAAATTGATCCGCTTAACATTGTTTCACATAATGTCTCATTTTAAGGAACGTGACCCTTACGTTAAGTGAGGACGCCTGTATTACAAAATGGTTTCGTGGAAAAAAAATCCTGCTTGACAAACTTAATGTTACTTGAAACAGTAACAGACTACGTGGATCAAAGCTCACCAGTGGGTGTGTTGTACATGGATTTCTCCAAGGCAATTGACAAAGTCCCATATGCAAAACTAGCCTCGAAAGATCCAGGCACATGGCATTGCAGGTATGATTTTGAAGTGGATTAAACAACTGGATCGAAGACTGGCAATAAAGAATGGTCATAAATGGAGTACATTCTGAATAGAAAAAGGATTTCAGTGGCATAACACAAGGCTCTCTTGTTGGACCCACCCTGTTTGTGATCTACATAAACGACACAGATGAAAATTTATCAAGTTTCATTGTCAAGTTCGCAGACAACATAAAGATATTTGGGAAAGTGGCAAGTAAAGGCGATATTACAACAGTGCAGAAAAACCTGTATGAGCTGTTCCAAGTTTAAATGTCTCGAGACTGGCAAATGTTCTTTAACATTACGAAATGTAAGACCCAATATGTAGGAAACAATGATCCTAATGACAACTACAGTAAAGCCTTGAATAACGATGGTAATGTGTCGTCCAATATTGCAGTAAGGTGAATCATCGTATCGTGAATCATTAATTACCATTAATATAAAGCAATAATAATGAGATGCATTCCCTAGTGTGACCTTTTCATATCTTTTGTGTGGCTTTTTACCCTTTTCCCCCCCAAACAGTAAATTAATGAAAAATAAAAGCTATATTCTTCAAATAATGTTTGTGAATACACCATATACAATATAAATCAATAATAATCTGCAGTCACACAAGACGAGACAGGACACCATTGTTGTTGTCAATATTTACACCCATGACAATGGTTCTCCGTCTGAAACCGAAGAAAATGGACCCTAGTTGTAGTTACAGTAAAATTAATGTAAAACAAATATGTATGTTTTAATTAATGTTATTTAATGTACAGTAGAAATAACCACTGATGGTAAAGAAAAAAGTGGAGACTGATAGCAGATGGCCAATATATAATAATAATAATAATGATAATAATAATAATAATAATGATAATAAACGGTTTATTAGAGCTGCCGTACAGCTACACTCAAAATACTGGACATAATGATACAACACACAATACATTTACAGGCTGTACAGTACAACAACCAGGCACTGTTTATTATTTTGACAATAGATGATGAATGCCCTTAGCGGGATCCTATCAAAAGGCCCTGGAGACTGAATGGTGGCACGACCGCGCCGAGAGGTAGTGGGCCAGATGCAAGCGACGACGAGGTGGTACAATAGTTGGTCAAAACCTTCCGTGCTTAGTGGTGGAGGTCACTGAGGGATGGCACTTCAGGTAGAGAGCAGTGTAGCCGGAGAAGCCAGTGCAGAGCATGATCATGAGCCCTTTCTGTACCATCTGATTTGTTGGGTGGAGTTGAGAAGACGAACAGAAGGACTGATGCTGTCAGAGAAGAAAAGGCATTGAATGGTCCCAAGTCTGCTGGTGTCCCAAAGTGACCTAAGTTTGTAGTAGAGATCAGTACATAGGCTGCCTAACTGTGTTATTAACATGGCCTTCCAGCAGTTTGTTTGTTACAAAAAGAGAGTTTGGCAGACTCACCAGCTGGAGGGACAACCCACTGTAGACTGCTAATGCACCTGGAGTGGTGGCAAGTATTGATGGATGACCACGGTTTGCATGAGGGTGACCTTGTTCTCCATGATCCAAGCCCAGCCTGTAGCACTGTCTCCATGTACGTGTGCACAGGAAATATAGAAGTGCCTAACG